GGGAGCTGTATGGCCATGCCGACATAAGTCGTCTCTTCATATTCATGGTGGGGAAAAGCACAAGATGTGCTTAACCCCTTCTTGTACTTGGTTTATAGACATATTTCTTCATCCGAGAAATCCTTTGACATGGAGCCTGAATGTGCCTCTATGCAAAGCTTAATATGTTAAGGGGACAGTCAGCTGATACATTACTTCATAAGAAGCTGTGTTTACAGAAGGAAAAATTAGATATTTCCACTGGGATAGGTTTCAGTTGCCTTCGGTACCAAAGCCCCTACCTGCATTAGATTGGAGGTGTCTAGAGATACAAGTAGCTAGCACCTTATGGAGGGATATTTTGTTTACTGTTGAGCAGGTGAACTCAGCCTTTGTCACCAGTTCCTTCTAGCTATTTCAGAAATGATAATTTCCCATGGTGAAAGCTCTGACTTACCAGCACAGTAAGGTTATTCTGAGTTAGTTGAAGACATTTTCATTATTCTCATTTGTCTGCTGCAGTTCAGGATTAATTCTGCAGCAAATTCTTGCTTCCCAGGTCAGTGAAATGTTAGAACATAAAGGATCTCATCCTGATCCTGGAGAGAACAGCCGTGCACTTCTACGTTACACTGAGTTTTTGTAACGTCTGTGGATAACAAAAAGTTATGGAAAGTTCATGATGGACACGCAGATTAGATTTTTGATTCTCAGTACTTGATGTAGATGCCCTCCTGCTTGTCAATGGTTACTGTAACTAAACTGTCTGTAACTTAGCATTCCTTTAAAAAGTGGAACGCCTTTAATCTGTTGTTTTAAAAAGCATACATTAGATGTCAGACAACATAAAGACAGCGCAAAAAGATAACCCTGATGTAAGTGATGGTTGCAGTCATCTAGTGTATGGATAAAAGATTTCTGAAGCAATGCTACGTGGCAGTTCAACATGATCCGGCTGTTTGTTAATCAGAGAACCTAAGAAGAACAAAGGAGAGAGAACAAAAACGTGAAAAAAATTGTTGTATAGCTAGAAGATGTACGGTGGAGTGACTCATAGGGTGGTGGGATTGGATAAAGCAGTCATGAAAACGATGAGCCATAGGAGGGCAAAATTTTTCACTTTGTTGCATGTGACGTGAGTTTGTTGGGAAAGGGGATAACATTTTGTATTCAGTCAGAGAGCATGTTCTGTAAATCTCTTCAGTTACCTGTTCCCTGGGTGTCGCAACAGATTAAGTCGCTGTGTGATGATATGACACCGCCATCACTCGTCTTCCTGGGATATTGCTGGAGGCAACAACAAACCTGTGTCTTTGGCACATGTGAAGGAATTTAGTGCTTGAGGGGTTAAATTACACAGGGTCCCCTGTGGATCAGCTTATGCTTGGACAGTAATAATAGCACTAACATTAATAATAAAAATGCCAGAGAGAAGGGAGTGGAGGGAGAGTAGGGAGAGAAAAAGAAAGAAAGAAGAGTGATGGAAGATGGGCTGGGACAGTCAGGTGGAAAAAAAAGGCAAGCTGGAGATAATGCATTGTGTACAGCAGGTGTACAGGCTCCAAGTCAGATGTCGTAGGAGCCTCCTCTGGATGCACAGGCACAAGTACACAGCGCAGAAGGTTTGAGAATGGTTGGTGGCTCTGTGTATGTGTGCTCTCGCTTCAAGCTGTGATATCCTGGGGCCGGTGTAACAAGCAATTCATGTCAGCTCTCAGTAAAGACTATTGGGTTTTCACTGGGGAAATATTTACACTCTGTCATCGTCTTTTCTGTGTTCAGCACCTTGAGCTTTCAGTCAGGTGGGAGGCTGATGGGGAAGTGGGAAAAGACCCACTGAGGGACACATCTCATCCCCCAGTTAGATGGAGTTAAACTCCTAATCTTGCTTAGGAATAGCTGCTGGTGCTGTTTTCCTCTTTCCCTTCTGGATTTATGGGATATTACATTTCGCTGCAGTACAGGCGATAGGATGGGATGCCAATTGGAGTGTTTTGGTTCTTACAGAAAGGAAAAGTACTTCAAGAGAGATATTTTTACATAGGTGAGGCCTTCTCACCTATGAGAAGAATGTGGATTTATTTTATTTCTCAACAGATAAGCCATCGCAGGAAGAGATGACAGGTTATCACATTGAAAAATAAGAGATCTGAATTTGTCCTCTTTCAGATTTGTTATTTATCATAATAATCCTGCTAGTGAAAAGGACTAATTTACTCTTTCTATAGGAATATTTTAAGTATGATTATCATAATATCACAGCTGCTGAAAAGGTCTAAAATAGGACACTGACCTTGAACGTGTTCCTGTGCTTAGTATGTGGTGCTTAACATTCAAGAAACAATATAACTGCAACTCATTTATTAATGTATAATCTCAAAATGTTAACTCCTGCTCTGTAAATACATGCTATAAGGATTGTAGAGAGCTCGCAGTATCCCATGAAGTACATGTGGTATTTTATCAGTGTAAATATGTATAAGGTTTTTGAGATTTCTGCTGGGAATAATCCATAACTAAAGTAAGTTTTCCCTTTGGTACTGCACTAGTTTATGATTTAATTTTTACTGACATTCCACCAGTCATATTATTAGCTCCACAAAATGAAAGTGAAATAATCCTGTATTAATTAAACAGAGCAACTGAATTCCCTCAGTCATCTTATCCTTGGCTGTCTGAGACAGTAATGCACTTCAGCTTCTCTGAAGAAACTTACACTAAAAAAAGAGCTTGGGGTAATAGTGAGATATCCATATTGAAGTGTGTACCTGAATTATCTTTAGGGAGTCATTGTTTTTTGGTAGGTGACAAGCATGTGCAGCTTCCTTTTTCTATTTTTTTTCCCCTTTCGTTTTGTCAGAGGCTTTGGAAAAGATGCTTTATCAAGAGAATAATTTTCATTTACAGCGGTGTGAACTGTTTTCTATTCTGTTTCTATTCCGTACCAGTGAAGGCAGTCATTTAAATACCCATGCCCTTGAAAATCAAATGAGGAGAAAATACTGAGATCTTTTTTTTTTTTGGAGACTAGAGGAACCAAAAGCAGTTTAGTAACATAGAAAGACAATTGCTGTGTTACTTCACACAGACTCTGGAATAGAGAGAGCAAAATCTACATGCCTTGCTCTGTATATTTGTGAATAAACTGCAGAAAAGTTTTAAAGAGCACTCTGGGATAGTGTTACTTGTGCTTTTTCTACCTAAGATCAAAACAAGGAGTAATTAATTAGTCCTAAATACAGACTGAAGGAGGTAGCTTTAAAGGAATAGCCGGCTGTAGTTTGTCCAACCACATACAAACAGGTGAGCGGGATTTTGAACTTCTGTAGCATTAGGTTTTTTTCATTTGTGAGCAGCACACCCAGGGATGCACCAAGTGCCTTCCAGCCATAAGCACACAAGGCCAAAGTGTCGTAAGACCAGTGGACAGTGACAATATTGTTCTGCCGTTGCTCCAGAGCACAGAACATTGGAGTTGTATTTCTTTACTTAGGATTTCGAATAAAGAGAGAACCACATATTTGATGATTACTCAATATTTATTTCAAACTTATTGATATTCTCCAGCTATGCTTTGAACAAGGTACCATAACGTATGGCAAAATTTTGCAGAATCACAGAATTGTAGGGTAAAAAGGGATCTCTGGAGATCAGAGAGTCCAATTCCCAACATGTTATGCTAAGTAAATGATGTACTTGTTTTCAAATTAATTCTCTGCAGCTAATAAAATGTATTTTACATTCTTGCTCCCTGCCAGTTGACTTGAGCTTTGCCTTTTGCTAAATACACATTTGACACAACTCACTGTGCAGTTTCTGTGATGTGCCACTGAATTATACTTCTTCAGTTGCCTTGAGCTAGTTGTGTTGTAAGAATGTGGCTAGAAATGTCTGTAGTATATAAATGTGAAGATACTTAAACATGGAATATATGTAAGACAAATTACATAGGCACACAGAGATGGAAACACAGATGCTGATCAGTAATGCTCCTTGACTGGTGCACACATCCAGGATGTTTTTTTTCCTTCCCCTCTCTGATTCCATTACCACTGTTTTGT